GAGGGGGAGGTGTTGCAATTTATTGCAAATCATCTTTAAAAGTACGTCTTCTGGCCGAATCTCATAACTCAAATACAGAGTTCATTATAGCTGAGGTTTCTGATGGTGTAACAAGCATTTTAGTGTCGTGTGTAAATAATCCCCGTAAGTGTTGTTTGTTGGACCCTTTTTTTGTTGAACTGTCTATGTTTCTACTTGACTATAAATTTTATGTAATCTGTGGTGATTTTAATGTGAACCTCCTCCTAAATGACACTTATGCTGATAAATTATATAACCATGTAACTGCGGCTGGTCTTGCCATAGTCAGTAAAACTGCACCGACGAGATTTGCCAATAATTCAAAGCCTAGCCTCTTAGATTATTTTATTTCTTCAAGTATGAAACATATTCTCAAATTTGACCAAATATTGTTTATTTCTGACCATGATTTAGTATTTTGTACTGTAGATGTTATGTTCGATCGTCCGTTTCTTAGAAGTACATTCCCGTATCGTGATTTCAAAGCCATAAATATGGATGAGTTATATCAAAGTCTGTCAAGTGTGAATTGGAACGACTGTTGGTTTTGTAATTCTGTCGTTGATAAGCTTCTTTTTCTTAATGAAGTTCTGACTAATATATTTGATAGTCATGTTCCTCTCTTGCCCTTGGTTCAATAAAAAAAGTAGACTCGGCTATAAAATATAGCAATAGGCTATAAGTCAAATGGAGAAGGGCATAGACTGATTTCGCATGGTCCCAATATAAAACAGCTAGAAATAAAGCTACATCAATTATTAAACAAGCAAAGATCGCATACTGTAGCGCTAAATTGGATCCGTCACTCCCTTCCAAAGATTTGTGGAGGAACTTAAAAAACTTGAAAGTTCACGGTAGTTCGAAGCCTGAGTGTGATTTAGACCCTAATGTATTGAAGGAGCTATTTACGGCTACGGGTAGTAATAAAAGTTCTCCTCACACTTCGAATACTCTCTGGGCTCACACAGCTTTGGAAGAGGAATTTCAATTTGTGGGAGTAAGGGAATTTGAAGTTATGAAAGCTATATGGTGTATTAGATCCGATGCTGTTGGTGACGATGGAATCTCCTTGAAATTTGTCAAACTTGTGCTGCCGTTAATTTTGGGCACCAATACCCACATTATTAACCATTGCTTTACGACATCTTGTTTTCCTGCGGAGTGGAAAAGACCCGTCATACTCCGATTAGCCAAGAAGAGTGCGCCTACTAATCCTAACGATTATAGGCCATTGCTTTACGACATCTTGTTTCCTTGCGGAGTGGAAAAGAGCCGTCATACTCCCAGTAGCCAAGAAGAGTGCGCCTACTAATCCTAACGATTATAGGCCGATCAGTATGTTACCAGGCCTAGCAAAAGTATGTGAGTCCTTGATGGCAGTGCAAATTTTGGCGTTTATCACATTTAATAATCTATTATCTCCTCTACAGTCAGGGTTTAGACCAAAGCATAGCTGCTTCACTGCAATGATGAAAATACTGGATGACATAAGAATACATTTTGACAACAGTGATTTAACTCTTCTATGTCTTTTAGACTGGCTTATGCCGATGACATCGACATCATCGGTAACAAAAACCGCGAAGTCTGTTCTGCCTTTTCCAAGTTGGATAGGGAAGCAAAGCGAATGGGTCTGGTGGTAAACGAGGACAAGACGAAGTATCTCCTGTCATCAAACAAACAGTCAGCACATTCGCGCCTTGGCACCCACGTCACTGTTGACAGTTACAATTTCGAGAAAGTAGAGAATTTCGTTTACTTGGGAACCAGCATTAACACCGATAATAATGTCAGCATTGAAATCCAACGTAGAATCACTCTTGCCAACAAGTGCTACTTTGGACTGAGTAGGCAATTCAGGAGTAAAGTCCTCTCTCGACGTACGAAAACCACGCTCTATAAGTCACTCATCATGCCCGTGCTGGTATATGGCGCAGAAGCATGGACAATGACAACATCCGATGAGGCGGCTCTTGGAGTGTTTGAGAGAAAGATTTTGCGGAAGATTTACGGGCCTTTACGCGTTGGCGACGGCGAGTACCGCAGACGATGGAACGATGAGCTGTATGAGCTTTACAACGATATGGACATAGTGCAGCGAATTAAAATACAGCGGCTCCGCTGGCTTGGCCATGTCGTTCGAATGGACACCGACGCTCCAGCTCTGAAAGTATTCAACTCGGAACCCGCTGGTGGTAGCAGAGGAAGAGGGAGGCCCCCACTGCGATGGAAAGATCAGGTGGAGAAGGACTTGGCTTCACTTGGCGTTTCCAATTGGCGTCAGTTGGCACAGAGGAGAAACGACTGGCGTGCTTTGCTGAACTCGGCCAAAATCGCTTAGGCGGTTACAGCTCCAAAAAAGAAGAAGAAGAGATGTCTTTTAGATTTCTCTAAGGCATTTGACACGGGTAACCATGGTATTTTATGTAAGAAACTTAAACATTATTTTGGTTTTTCTGATAATTCCTTAAAATTTGTGATGAGTTACTTAGAAGGTTGGGTACAAAAAGTGAATACGAAGAATGCTCTCTCTAGTTTTAGAGCTGTGTCAGCTGGTGTCCCGCAGGGGTCTGTCCTAGGCCTGCTTTTGTTCAGTACGTTCGTCAATGATGTGTTCTCCATGCGTATGCCGATGATATTCAAGTGTATTTGTCCAGTCGTGTAGGTCTTGTTGAGGATTTGTGTTTCAAACTAAATAGTGATTTGTCTGCTATATCGCAATGGGCAAGTGATGACTATTTATGCCTAAATGTTTCTAAGTCCTTTGTGTTGCCAATATGTAATAGTGTAGTGCATGTTGAAAATATTCCAGAATTGTTTAATGTTTACAAACAAGATCAAAAGTTTAGGCTTTGTCATTAACTCAAGGTTGTTCTTTTCCGACCACGTTAATAGTGTCGTCAGTAGTGTGTATTCCGTTCTACGTAGGCTGAGAATTTCTGCCTCATTTACGCCATTGGAAACTAGGCGTAAGCTAGCTAGACAACTCATCTTGCCCCACATAACGTACTCTGAACTTGTCTACAGCAAGTCTGACTCAATCTCCTCTCACAAAATCAATGTTATTTTCAACAATGTCACCCGTTACGTGTATGGTCTAAAAAAGTCCGACCACATATCCCTATGGAAAAATGAAATTTTGGGGTGTAGCATTACTGAGCATCTTGCTGCTAGGAATTGCATATTTCTATATAAATTATTGGAATGGAAATCTCCACTGTATTTATATGAGAAGCTAAATCCAGCAAAATCCAGTAGACGCCATAACCTGATAGTCCCGAAATACAGATACCTAGCCTCGTCGAGATTTTTCTTCGTCAACGCTGTGAGGCCCTGGAACATTCATGCCTATTCCGGTAACCGACGGATGCCTTTCGCGGGGAACGCGAATCGTATTGAGAAGTTTTGGTATTCTCATATCCGATCGATAAAGAAGTTCGCGGATAAAAAACGGTTGATAAAGCAGTTCAAAAATTTACTGTATTCCAATAACCGCAATAGAAACGCAGTAGCTGTCATTTGTACTGTTTGTCATTCGCGATAAAACAGTTGCGGATTTAATTTCGATTTTTACAATTGCGCAGTATTTTCATACCATCATGGAATTTAATAAAAAGTAAGTAAGTTTTTGTATTTTTGGGTAAAAATGATCTAATTCTACAAACTTTAAAATAGAAGTCGTACCACAAACCGTGAGCAATTTTCGCTGCTAGTTGAGAGAATGAAGCTTAACGGGGATATTGCCAAGAACATGACCAAACAATCGCCGGAGGTAGTGTCAGTGTTTTGGTCAACCTTAAGCACAGACTTGAATGCATTGGGACCTCCGGCAAAATCGGTTTCAGAATAGAAGAAGGTATACATAAAATGTGCATATGTAAAATTCAACTTGTTCTATATGGATTTCCTTAATCTTAGGTATGGTCAGATTTTAAGGCTTCAATTGAAAAAAATATGTCACACAACAGGAGCCAAATGCAAGCCACAGGTGGAGGTCCAAATGCAGAAATTGCATTGACTGCTTTGGAAGAGGAAGTTGCGCAGCGGATTTGCATTCAAGACACCATAACGGGTGTTTCAGGGCGCAATAATTATGGTGTCCCACAGGAGCCACGCGTAGGCCAAATTGAAAGCACGAACAGCGTGCCAACTAGTGGAGTGACATCAGATGAAAGCATACCTGAAGCAATTTCAGCTACAAGTACTCGACCCCAAAGCAGAGTACCAAAAAAAAGAAAATGTTGAAAACGCAAATAGATTTACAAAAAAAATTTCATCAGAAAGTTTCGTCCAGTTTGGTTAAACACAAAAAGCAATTTGTGGTTTTAAATCACAGTTTGAAAAATATTCAAAATACAATGGACAGCATTAATGAGAACGTAGCAGATATGAGTACAACTCTGAAACATTTAATTGCTGAAACAAAGAGACACAATTTAGCAATGGAAAACATATTGAAAGAAAAGACTCGACTAAAACAACAAATTTTAGAGCTGGAGCTACAAAGAATAAACGACAGTCTTATTTAATGCATTTTTAGATACCAACGTTCCCAACTTTGTCATGAAGGCATTTTTTTTGTACTTTTTATTAAAATAAAACATATTTTACAAGAAACTTTGGAGCATTTGATTACGCAGAGTAACTGCTTCAGTATAATACCTATCCATTCGTTCAATTTCAGAAAAATTGTTCTCTGAATCCTCAGAATCATTAAAGTTTTTAAGGTATTCATCATGAATATTGTAGTAAATTGAATTATGAAGTGCTGCAGCTACGTTTATAATTTGAATAGCCTTATCAGGAGAATAATGAAGTTGACGTGCTGACAGGAGACACCTACACCAATTTTTCCAAACACCAATTGTTCTCTCTACTATGTTACGCCCAGCACTGTGCCATTTGTTGAAACGGCTTTGGGGGGTATTAGGGGCAGGATTTCGAAAAGGAGTTACAAGCCAAGGTGCAAGACCGTATCCTGCGTCCCCTACGAATAAAATGTTCAATTAAAACGAGCTCGTAAATAATAGGAAAATGTTTACCTAATAACCGTAAATTTCTGTTTCCATTTTCGTATTGCGCTTGAAAGTACTGTGATATATCGCTATTAAGCCAAACAGAGGAGTCGTGTGTTGAACCAGGGTACTTCGCGTTAATGTACCTTATGCGCTGTTTGTGATCACAGATCTTAAAACATGTAAAATAAAAACTAAACAAAATTCGTATAAACAGAGTTTTTCTACTTACAACCAGCACATTGGACTATAGAAACCTTTCCTATTGTAAAAAATATGGGAATTCGCTCCCGAAGGCTTTGCTATCCTCATGTGCGTCCCATCAACACACATGACAATGCCAGGAATTTTTGATTTGTTGAAAAAGTAACTCCTGGACTCCATTTGTTCATCTTCATTCATTTTTAGTGTAATCCAGTTTGGACACAATTCGGTTTCAATAATATCTAGAACTTGAGAAAATATTTTTTAGACTGTTGGTTGGGCTATTCCAACCATGTAGTCCTTGCCAACTCCATTTTGGTAGCTTCCTTCAGCTAACAATCTTAGGCAAACAGATAGTTTTTGTTGATGACTTATTGCTGTGGATTTAATCACTGGCGGCATTTTATTACAGATTATCCTTAAAACGTGTTTATATGCCACTTTGTTCAGGCGAAATTGCTTAACGAACCTGTTGAATCAAAAATACATATTGCCGTACATGTATTATTAAAATAAATACAACGTTAATACAAGAAGATTTAACTTACTCCNATACAGATTATCCTTAAAACTAGTTTATATTCCACTTTGTTCAGGCGAAATTGCTTAACGAACCTGTTGAATCAAAAACACATATTGCCGTACATGTATTATTAAAATAAATACAACGTTAATACAAGAAGATTTAACTTACTCCACATCAGGCAGCTCGAAAATGTTAGCTGCTCTATCCCTCACAGATCGTCTAACGTTTGCTGCGATACTTCCCGTTTCGTCATTAAAATTCAAATAAAAGGCTATTGTATCCATTTTTCCGAAATTTTTTTGTTGAAATTATAAATTAAACGCAACTAACAACAACGAACTGTCAGAACAAACTTTTGACACATTCCACTAGGTGAGTCGATAAAGAAGTCATCCGACGGATATCGTAATAGAGAAAAATTTTACAAGTGAATCGAGTGCGGATCGGATTAGATTCGCGCGAATAGCATGCGTCGGTTACCGGAATAGGCATGATTATCCCCGAGTCCGTTAAATCTGTACTGAATAGGAGTAACTACAAGGCGATAATACTTAATTACTTCAAGTCCATGTAGTGAGTGCGATTGTGATAAATAATTTTCTTATCTTTCCTCCCTTCTCTTCCCTTATCTTTTCTGGTAGTCTTCATATTTTATTTTTTTGTATCTTGTTAACAAAAAAATTCACATATAAGTAATTCTTATTTTTAGTCGTAAGCTCACTTAATTTTAGTTTAAGTCCATTTCAATAATATAATGTTACTTAATTAAGTTCATGTACTATTAAAAGATTATTGTCTTACATGTACAACCACTGTTCCCTGTTAAATAAATAAATAAATAGCTTTATAGTCATTTAAATAACAAATAATTTTGTATTTGTAAGACTGTAAATAACTAATTTTTGATGAAAAATGCAGATACCAATTTTTTATAATTACAGATTGCAAAGGATAATAACAGACAAATGTTAATCGGTCGTCTAATAGTTGACTATGAAACCAATTCACCTGTTCAAATGAGAACATTACTTAAACCCGAACTAAGGAAAATAACACTCCTGCTCTGGTTTCTATGGATGTCATGTGCGTTCTGCTATTACGGCTTGGTATTGATAACTGTAGAGTTATTTCTTAAGGACAAAGTTAATTCCGTAAATCAGGGATGCAGCACATTCAATACACAAGATTTTATGGACCTATTGTGGATTACTTTCTCTGAATTTCCTGGAATATTTGTAACAATAGCTATTATTAAACGATGTGGCAAGAAAAAAACGATGGCCATGCAATTTCTAATTTTTTCTGGATGTGTTTCAATACTATCGCTTATTAAAAGGTACGTTTAATTCAAGCTATACATACCGTTATACTGAATGCCATAGAACATTTTAATGCTCTTACTCAGATGGTTATCTTAATTAAACAGTCTCGATGTTTCCCTTTCTTGAGAGTTCTGAGCGTCTAATATGTATTGCAATTCGAAAGGCGACACTGACTGATACAAATTCATAGTGCAATGTAATTGAATCTTATTTCTTTTTGGAATCGCAATGCAGAGTAGACCCTTGGAATACCAATTATAAGTCAGTTCATGGTCAAATTTTGTGCAAAATTTTAACTAAAAGAGCCATTTCAGTATGAAGAACAACTTATAATTCGCAGATGGTCCTCACTAATACTCATAGTGATGGGTAATAATATCCATAGATAATATTACCTTTTTGAATCGAAGTAAAGTCCAAGGACGTTATTGATCTTTTAAAACACCATTGAAAAAAACCACTTTTAACATATGTACATAGTATTTATACAGCTTTAAAAGTGCATAACATCGCTGCGGCCAACGTTCGCGGTCCAACCAGCATCGCGCCGAGCCGTTTTCGGCCGCTCCCCTCCATTAAAAAAAAATGCTTTTTACAAATTTCATAAAAATGGGCGCGTTTCTAAGATGCAACTGTTTACCCCAACAGTAGCGGAAATTCTGTCAACTGTTGGGTCCAACAGTTACGTCTTAGAAACAGTATGATGCATGAACTGCCAAACAAACAGCTGATATTTGTAAACAAGCAAAATTAAATAAAAGAGCCCAAAAATAAAAAAATTTACTAAGCCAAAAATATGAACACATGAACACTAAAGCATCCCAACTTAAGCTACTATTCCATACGAACACAGGTACATATGGGTGTTTCCATGAAAATGTCAAACAGGGCTGAAAAAATAAAAACAACTGAAAAGGGTTTTTAAGACGAATTAATAAGAGAAAAATACTCGAATTTTTATATTATAGAAGTATTTCAGCTTATTGGAATTTTAAAACTCAAAAATGGAAGAGTAATACTGAATGTCTCTCGACTCAGTTTTTTCTAATGAAATTAACTATTTTCTCTTTCCTATTAACTAAATTAGGAAATTTGAAACATTACAATTACATCTTAAAATCAAATTTGCAATAACAACTAACTATAAAAATGAGAAAAAAGAGAAGTTAGAGCTCGAATAACGGTAATTTTTTGATTTCGATGTTTCCCTTTCTTGAGAGTTCTGAGCGTCTAATATGTATTGCAATTCGATAGCATTCTAATGCCGCCTACGTTATTCAAAAACTTTGTTTGTCTATTGGCAGTCGCAGGTAATGCAGATTACAATTCTTAAGCGAGAATTCTTCCAGTTAAAGATATACAGTAAAATTTTCTTTCCAACCGAAGTAAAAATATATTTTATTACCCTTTAAAGTTTGTCGCATACGTTATTGTAAGTACGAAAATTTCAATCAAATACATCAAAACCAATGTTAATTGCAAATTTTCCATTTAAATTATTTAGAATAGTTGTAAAACAATGAAACGGTGGCGAGAAGAGTTCTCAATAAAAACATTTTATTACTTATGAGAAAAATTGTCGCGTACGTTATTATTTTTTTTTAATATAAAACTAGCCAGAGATAATTTCTCTTAAAATATGAAAGGATTGTAAAGGTACATTATTTAGCTTAGTTTAGGAATTTTTAAAGAAAAGAAAAACTCCCATGATTCGCAGACTTTCGCATATATGCGTGTTTCCATGAAAATGTAAACCGAAAATGCAAGCAAATGAATTCAAACGGCTTTATAACTTTAAGTTTCGTATTCAGATGGCGTAAAAAGGGTTTTCAAAACGCGAAACGGTGGAGAGAAGAACTGAAAAAATTTAATTTAGTATGTGTTACTAGTAAAAATATTGTATGGGGGAAAAATCTGTCGCGTACGTTATGTCGCGTACGTTATTATATTTTTTTTTAATAAAAACTAACCAGAGATAATTTCTATCAAAAAATGGAAGGATTGTAAAGGTACATTATTTAGCTTAGTTTAGGAATTTTTAAAGAAAAGAAAAACTCTCATGATTCGCAGACTTTCGCATATTTGTATATGTGCCTTAAAACCACTTCTTTTTTTGTCGCGTACGTTATGACCTGGTTTTGAACGGATATTTTCCACACCAAAGTTTCGAGGCTGCTTATTTTTTTCTCAAACATAGTACCCTTTGGTTGCAACATAACCGTAATCTTTTTTTTTCTGTAACTTCTATTTTTGATAGATTTACGTTACTCTATAAGCGTACGAATGTCGCGTACGGCTGTATGGAAACACCCATATGTACTTACATATCGAGCCCTAACCGCCAAAATAACGTAAGCGAAATTTTTTCAAAATTTTCTTTTTGATGCAGAAATGCATCTAGATGTTCTAGGAATATGCATCAAAAAGAAAATTTCGAAAAAAAATATCGCTTACGTTATTTTGGCGGTTAGGGCTCGATATGCTTATAAGTCCACGAATTTTTTATTTATTTTAAATATACACGTGTATTTTATTTTATTTATAGCCAGTTTCATTTTTTTTAAATTTATTATGAAAACTGACGGAAGGGAAAAATCATTTTTTAGTTAAATTGTTGAGTTCATGTCGCGAAATAATTTTACGATGGAAAAATGGCGTCGAATCAGTAACCGTTCAGCTGAGCGGAACTACTCAACTGTGCGTTTCTAAATCAAGCGCTCAACAGTTTAACAACAGCTACGTCTTAGAAACGCGCCCAATGTGTTTGTTTTTTAGATACATGCATACTTCAAATATTTACAAATTTTATAAATACATATATGTAGGATGGCTTGCATAAGTCCACAATAAAACACCCGCGGATAGATTTAGATTTTGACAGTTTATTGTACATATACTTTAGGTGAACTTAGAATGTAAAATAGAAAGAGCTAAATATTGGCTATTAAAATAGCTTCGACCTAAAGTAAAAGCTTAAATTTTAGCGTCCGCGTCGGTTGCTTTTAGTTTGGTGACTGTCCCGTTTATTATTTTCTTGTCACTGTCCTTTTTATATTTTACTTTCCTCTCACTCAACGTTTGGACTACTGAAATTCGATTCGCATATGGGACTCGAAAAGCGGAGTAAAAACGATATTTTAGGGGCAGATTAACATTTTTTTTGTTCCATAGTATAAAAAAAAATACCTCTTTAGGTACTTTTTCAGTTCATCATATTTTTTTCCATACTTACGCATTATTTACATTCATATATGTATATTAGACTGCATCACTCCCCATACAAAAAAATCGGTACTATTTTTCCACTGGAATTATAAAATCTATTGGCGCGTATTCATAGTCCAGCAACTAAGTCGAAACTAACAAAGTTGCAACTTAAATTTAAGTACCAACTTAAAATTTACCTCTATTCATAGTCGCATTTCAGGCTTCAACTAAGTAGTTTCGACTTAGTTTACGATATAGCAAAACGATAGTGAAAATGTATCGATTTTTCTTTACGATATTTTGGAAAAATTACATTTTTATTAAATAATATCAAGTTTGATCATCCGTTTATGTAATTTTTATTTTCATTGCATGATTATGCAAAAGAATAAGGAATCATTTTCTTGTTAATTGTGTGAAATAGCCAGAACAACCGCAGTGATGTGAAGTCGATGTTTATCGAAAGCATGCTGTGAAACATACAAATGGTAGATATCTAAATGTTATGCACAAATTTACTTTAAAAGAACTAGCGTGAAACTGACTTATTATTTGAAAATTTATCTTAATTATTCCAATTATAAAATTGTGATGTAGCTATATTCGAATTGTAATACGCATTTAATTTCATCTTCCGATTAAAATGGATCGATCTTTGTAAATTTTAATTGGAGGTTATTCAATATTATCAAAATCACCCTCTACCAACTTAATTTTTACATATTTCGTCTGTTTTCCCTTAATTTGATAAAATACTTCTTCCTGGTTACGACTTAGTTGCAGCTGCAGCCGAAACTAAATTTTAAGTTGGTACTTAGCCAGAAAAGTCGAAACTAAGGCGACTATGAATAGAATAGTTTCGACTTAGTTGAGTACTAAATATGACTATGAATATGCGCCATTAT